GTGCTTTCGTCTGGTTGCTAGGCTTCAACACGGTACAATATCTTCGTATGCCGCGCATTTTTCGCTCTGCAGTTTTCAGTGTTTCAAATCAACGTGATTGTGCCCGATTCGTTAAACGAAAATAATCAGCGTGCAAATATGCTCTCCAAATGATTTGGATGTGGTTACTTGTTGATTGCTTTCAACTTGTCACGTGCAATCTGTTCTCTAGGAATATTTTCCTAATGACTCATTTCTTTTTGCTTATTCGTGTCCTATTTTGAATAAAATCGTTTTTTTCCTCATGATTCCCTTCTCTACTACTTGATTTATCACCTATTTTAATAATGTGGTGCCCCGCGATTATTTAGAATACCTCAACAAAGCGACTATCGGTGGCTGCAGTTTTGAATTCCCTGCTTCGCAGTCATGGCCACAATATCGCACTAGTCGTTGAAGTTTTAGAGTTGTCATCAAGTGGCGATTCTGGAAAGGCGCTGTCTCCTACATGGAGACCAGTGGCTCACTGGCTGACCGGTTCCGGGTCAGTTGAGTGGGAATATGTGAACTGCAATTGGGGTGAATCAGAGCGATCGAGTGAAAGATATGGAGGCGCACATCTTCGCAAAATGTTGACAATAGCTTCTGATGTTTCTGAGTTTGTCGCACAAACGTGTGGACGCACACAGTTTTGTCCAAGTTCATCTGTGCACAATGAGAATCATATGTTGACTGAGTGGATACAGTTAGCAAATCCATTTTAAAAGCAGTAATAGGAACGAAAGTAATGGGGTCAAACACGTAGAATGTGGAAATATTTCAATGTTGAGGTTTGTGATGATAGAGAGATAGGCACCCATGTGTTTCATGAGTGTGGATGAAACAACAAAGTGGAACAATCAGAAGCCAGTCCGATTTGGCTAGTGAACAAGTGATGCAGTATATGTCGAAGGCGAATTGTCCACATGGTGGTTGTATGTGACTGAGTTAATGCGTGTTCCAGTGGGTTGCTTCAACTTAAGGGTTCGGTCGGTGGATAGTGCTCCGTCTCTGGTGCATCTAACAACGGATAGACAAAAGCTTTGATTGTTCGACTGTAGATTCCTTTCTGGCTCGTGACGCAAATATGAGCGTGGGCAAAACATGGACCATCCCGCTGAATGCGGCGAAAGACATCCTTACGCCCAGTGGATGAACACTCGTAGTTGAGCAGTGTGAACAGCTGATTGCCATTCGTCGTAGAACGCTGATCGTTGTTCTGCGTGTGAATCCAATCGATCACGCTATGCCTTGCATGAGTGGATAGCAAGAAGGGAAAAAAACAGGAAGGAGCAGAACTGGTGAACGTAGCAATTGGAACTCGAGACTGAACACAGATGGGGATTGATCTTGTGTTAGCATGAATTTTGGCGAAGTGCGGTCAGCTGTAAAATGGTGTGATTGCAGCGTGCCACACCCACAACTATGTACATTTGTAGACTCAGCATTGGCATGCACATTCGCCATCGCTCCTCGTTGAATAAATTGGATCAGAGTTTTGTTAAACGAGACCAAAAGGATGTACAGGACAACACAAAAGTACCGATCGAATCAAGACCTTTGTGAATTAAATTTTTTCGAAGGTAATAGACAAATGGACAGATAAACATTTTGAAACAGACGAGGACATATGTATGATGTTCAGTTCTTCCGGATGATCGGATAACAAAGATGTTAGTCTCTAACATTTTCAAATGTTGGGAAAATGGAAAGTGGCCACTGAAGGGGTCAGAAGCGCTGTTGGTGTGCTGTTGGATGTAACTTGCTGACTCGGACTTGGACCTTCTCCACCTGCATTCACTGTGGTAGGTGGATTCAGCGTGAGCGTGGTACCGGTCAATGTGGTACCCTGACACAATTTCTGATGTTTCCATACGCCTGCTTTCGAATTGTTTACTGGAGATTGCGCTGACGGCTGTATGGACGGTGTGCCGGCAGGAGACGGCACAGGCATCGACCCGGATGCGTTATAGCCCGTTTGGGACAACGGCATTGTGGTCAGCGCAGGCAGCCCACTCTGTACGAAATGGATGCGATTGGTGGGAAGGGAGTGCGGACGTGTGGATTCAGTCATTTCATACATTTTTCATCATGAATAAGGCGGATACCAATGCCGTCGTGTTTGAAAAGTAAATAGTAAATCTACAAGCATTCCACTTCAAACTCCAGTCGCATTTTACGAGTTATGTTTCGTAACTCCTTATCTCTGATGATTTTCAGTTGTTCAGTGCTTCTTGGGAGCCTATGTGTTTAGTTGCTGCAGTGTAATATGGTGTATCCGACCAAGGGGTTGATATTCCTGAAAATTAGTTTTACGAAGGTGTCTGAACTTGTTATGTAACAGCGATGCAGCACTGGTTAAGGTGTGTTTTTCCCCTATACCGAATGCATTTTAGTATGAGACTGTGTCATCTTGATGGTACTGAAAGATGCTTTCAGTATTCTCCAGTTAATTAGATATAAATGAAATAAATAATAGAACATTCCGAAACGGAAGCGTAACCAGATCACCATCGTTAGGTGCAAGTGGTGGTGGTAGTCCAGGAACCCACTCGTGAACGATACGATAGGGGCCATTATTGTAAGGCTACTGCTACCAGGGGTTTGTAGCCAAATATTGGTTCTTATAATATCGATCTTTTTACAGCCAAGATACACAGCGAACTAAATAGCAATCCAAAAGATCTATCTCATAGGCGCGTTTAATTTGTATTATGTGATTTCATGTATATATTGTGTTAGAACATATTACGCATTGTTTGCCGGAGGCTTCGTGTCACCATATCATCTTACGCTCACTTCCATCGCCTCGCACATTCATCCACATTTGTGATGAATCAGAGGAGGAGAGAAAGGCATGCAGACATTAATGATGTGAGTTCATTCTAAGCGCCTATACGATGTCGCAGTCAAAAATATGGGATCAAGTTATCGAGGGGAATAAAGTAGACTTGACATGTAGTAGTTAGTTCAATCTGCTTTCCTCAATACCATAATGAGGGGAAAGTGATCCGTGCAGATTTCTTAACTGAGCACTAATAATTATGAATGGAATAGAGGTGAAAATAATCTTTAGTTTCTGGGAAAACACTGAAATGGGGGTTGCAGAGCTGCATGAAGAAAACCACCGTGAGTGTTGCATCAGCGGTGTTCACACAAACCAGGTTGCTGAGACTGGGTGTCGAAAGAATGGTTGTTTCTTAGTCTGAATCATAATTAATTCTTTGGAACTTCAGAAACTGCTGGTGCTTCTTATCTCAACAGTTCACATCTTTTCGTCTTCGTGTTTGCCGAACACAATGCTTGTTCTCATTCCTGTTATCTACTGTTTACCATTGTAACTGTGTAATCTTTACACTCCGTTCTGCATCCCATTCCACCCATCTCTTGTTATTGTTATTACTGTTGCGTTGGCATCATGCTTGTCCGCAAGCATATACATATTTCATAATAAGTAGCATGTGAATGACTGGAAAAAATTTCCCTGGAAGCAAACAACCGGTTTCGCGGTCCTTGCCGTTCGTCTTGAATGCGCATCCGGTAATCTTTTGTCAGTTCATTCATATACTTGTACCCAGGAAGTGTATTTTCGTCACAATAACCTTGTTTGCAACCGCTCATATGCTTCTGGGGAAATTTTGTCCACTCATTCGCATACTGCTTCTTATGAACTATTCTATAAAGGCGATCAAGTCACATCTGTTGCAGTTAGTAGCAGCCAACCCATCTACAAAACAAACCATAGCATTGATTCTTCAGTGGACTGGCTCTGAAAGGGCTGTTTATCCGAAAATCACCCGGTGTTGCAAACAAGGTTATTGTGACAAAAATACAAATCCTGGGTAGAAGTACAGTCGATCTCTTGCTGCGCCGTACTCCTGAGAAGTTGCATTTTCCAATATCTTCTCACTCTTTATATAACCCAAACCAACGATATGGATAATAACGGAGTTTCTGACTATGCCGTATGTCGAAGTTCCTGATACCTACTCCCTTGGTAGTTGGCTGTTGGCGTTGGGACGGCCATTGACCAGCCAACCTACAATGTCGCACTCAGCCAGTGGCGTTTCATCTAGTGTTACGCGAACGTGACACACTTCACTGATGAGATTAGAACTTGTTGGAAATGCCGAATCGGCCAGGTGCAACTCAGAGGCCCATAGCCGTTTCATTTTGTATTTCAAGAAAAACTGTTTACAGTGTTTGATCCCATCGAACAACTATCGGATAATTTGTGAACGCTGGA